AAAGTGCGTCTTATACACCAAAAAATACGGTACTCAGGTATTAAAAAAAATATTTCAATCATTATCCTTTTGTCCTGACCAATCTCTTATGCTAATAAACTTTGCAGTTCTTGAAAAATTAATATTACAGGGTAATGAAAGTAATCACTACAGCTTTTAAATATTCTGATTATAGTTGAACATTGCTTCCTCAATATTATATTTATGACCTTAATAATTGCTTTACTGATTTTTTAAGTTCCACTGCTGGTTATATTCAATAGGATATTCAAGGAAGACCAATGTCAACAGTTGAGTTGATCAGCACATGCGATCAAGTAGCTCGCATTCCAGGATGTAAAATATTTTGGCTGCATCTGCAATCAATGATAGGGCACAATTCATAGTGTTCCAGACACTTGTTTGAACGTGCCTGTAGCCGAGGTGTATCAATGCAGCTAAAATCACATACCTTGTCACATTCAATAGGACGGTACTTTCTGCAAATACTGTATATTACAATTATTTCATAAAGAATTAAAAAATAAGCTATGAAAGCACTCAATATAAAACCATATTAAATTCATTCAGAGTACTAAAACAAATATTATCCCACTTCAAAGATACTCTTGATTAGGGATGCACAGGCACCTGGCCAGATATTAAAGCACCGGCTGGGTATTGGGCTACTTGGTAATACTCAGCTCCAGCCGAGTGTCGAAGTTAAGCATCTAAGCCCTAATCTTTGTGGCAACTAACGTGGTAGTGAAAGTTAGTCAATAATTGGTTTATTATTTAAAAAAATGTGTTCCGAATAACAAAAATTGACTGCCCGCTGAAAGTTGGGGATTCAGAGAACAATAGGGGTTAATAACAGGCATGGCTTCAGAAGTGGATTTCTGGGGAAGGTGTGGGTTTTGAGAACAATAGGAGTTAGGGTTTGAGAAGTTGGGGTTAGTCATTGAAAGTTGAAAGTAAAACTTGAATGCTCTGTTGGTAATTATTCGGTTAAATGTAATAAGCATCAATTTTGTTTTTGTTTCTAATTTTTGCGTATTTTTTTTGGGGGGGCGAGGGGAGAACTTGGTCCCAGTTGACACCCAGACCTGGTATTCGGTCAAATTTTACTACCCGTGGATCCCTACTCTTGACAACTTATAGCAGAATAGAATCAAATGTGAAATTCCATATTTAGTCTGTTCAGCTTTGTTTATCAACCAAACAACTCACTCACTAGAGGTTAGACTTTCAAAACATAAAACAATAGTATCCGGTACACAACTCATAAGGCAAAGTTCAATGAAGATTATTAAACTCTAAATGATCAAAATAATATTATGTTCTTATGTGAAATGAACAAGTAAGGAAAATAAGGTAAGGTAATGTTTACAAATTTAAGTATTATTTTTTCCCCACATGATTTAAAATGCCCTTCTGCCATGTATTCACAGATGTTTTCTTTTGTTTAGCAAGTCACCTCATAAAATTCAGGGAAAATGTATATAAAGGCTCATTAACATATACACATTTTATGGCTAAAATCAAGTTTAAACAAGACATACAAAATACTTATTAAAATACTTAATAAGATGTAAATACTTGATAATGCCTTTTTAAAATATTTTATGTAAGTGTGCATTTTAAAAAATAATCCATATATAAGTTGTGATTGGAAACTAAGCATTTTTAACTCAATATATAGCACCATTTGTACCCATCTTTGTAAGAAAAATAATGCTGCAACTGAATGTTTTCAACAGCTTCACAAACTTGGATTTATGTGAAATTGATCATAATGCTATATGTGTATTGAACTAAATAACATCAGTTTTAAGTTTCTGAATGCACCTTTTTAAAAAAAAATAACTCAGAGTTTGCAAAGCATAAAATTCATACTACTTACTAACGTAATGATGGCACATTCAGCAGTTAACTGTGCAGCATTAAACAATGTTCTTACAAACTTGTAGATTGACCTATGATCTGGGTCTCGTTCTTCAAAGTCTTCTGGGTAACCATCTTTCTGAGCACAGTATAACAGATTAATTTGTTATTCTACAAATTAAAATTCACCATCATTATATAATTAAACAAGTTTCAAAACCTTCAGCATAGAAGATATTCCTATAAAATTGCAAACTTTTCAAATTTTTTCCTTCATTGAACTGGAACTTGTAGCAGATACACATTTTTTCTTTTTAAGTTATGTTTACATTTGCTAATCTAGTAACACATACATAAAATATACTCAGCCTGAATACATGATTATCAATGAAGATGAACCAATGTAGAAAAACTGTCCAATGAATTTGGCATCACTTCATTACGATGCAATACTAGTAACATCTTATCAGTATGTAGATACATTCTGCTTATGAAATTAGGAGAGCTTTCAAGACTTTCACCCTCAAGTATAAAATATTAAGACACTTTAAACATTGTTTCCTTTATCATTAGTGAATAGCATAGTAAGAACTACTTCTAAAATAGCCAACATCTCTTTAATATATGTTTTTGTGTGCCTATTTTCCCAATAACTTAAAATTTACAGTGCAATGTACCCTTAGAGAAATATAGAAGATTTTTGGGGTTCTTTGTTAACCTAAAATGGATTTTCAGTTTTTAAACTTTGAGTTTTTCAATGTAATTTTGCAAATTTCAAGGCCAAAATTCTTGTATTAAAGTGTGCCTTCTTTCAGTAGAATTAAGCTGGACCAAATGTTTCTATATTATCTGAATTTATACAAAAACATTTATAACTGAGTGGAAAAGTTAATATTAAGGAAGACTATTGTTAATTAGTTGGACTTTATATCTGAGTGAAAAATACTGATATGAAGTTTTGATACTATTTTTTGTGAATAATATTTTGTGATATTTGAAATATAATCCTTTTGTTTTTCTAAATTGGTTATTCATATATGATTATACAATCAAAGGTTTAAAGCACTTGAACTCTGCACCTAACTAATTTTTTTGTCCTTTTGGTTGAAGAGATTATTCAGTGCTTTGAATTAATCTTGCTTCATGAAATTATCTGTGACCATTTCCTTGAAAATATGCTTACTGACAACTAATCAAACAATTACCTCAACTGAGTTGTAATGGATACATAAACAACTGGGTAATCATTTTTAAAACAGAAAAAATAAAAAATAAACAAAACCCATATATTCATAATTTAAAGTCATGGGAGACTTGACACAACCTGTTTCACTGGCTCACATTTAGTTCCACTAATTCACCTGGTAATCTTTATACACATACATTAAACTAACCGATCCATTCACCATTCAATTCTGTAATTAAATGCTTTAATGGGGAAATCCAAAACTTTTTGACAATCATAAGCCTTTTATTGTTTTCAACAAATCAACATATGCATCCATAAAAATTGGTAATTCTGATATAAAACTGTATCTGAAACAAAGACACTTCAAATACAAAGCATGATAACCACTGAACATTTTTTAATATCAATAAAGTTTCTTGGTTAATTTACAATTTATAATGAAATACAAACCACAACATGACATAACTTTATGTTGATCAGAAAGTTCTATTTCATGTATACAATCAGTTTCAACTTAATTGATATTTAGTAACACATTTATTTCTTTTGATACTTTATTTTGTCAACTGCAGTAGTCATCACTTTGGGTTATAAATCATGAAAACATGGAAAACTGACAATGATTTATAGGTGACTTGAAATCTGACTTGTCACAATAACATCAGTTCAGGCTATGTTATAGTATTTCTGCCAACAACATTCTTGGTCCAGATCCATTAACATGATAATAAATACATTTTCAATAAATATGATGTTTTTTACTTATCTATTTTGTTTGAATATAAGCATAAAATTAATATTCAATATGGAAAGATTTGAGTCATCAGAATATTTTGCCATCACCCATCATATCTGATGTCTTGTGATAAAAGAAAATTTCCAAAGTTTTCAAATATAACATAAAAACATTTTCTGTGATGAAAACCATGCCAAAAGAAACAATTAAAAAAAAACACCCTCAGATCTGAGGTTTGTTCGTAAGTCCTCCGAATTTCAAATTAAATTCCACTGTTCCTCTCACTTTCCCACAAAACCACACACTACTTCTCACATCATTTTATTCATTCTACATTGATGTAAGTAGTTTATAACCTTCTATATCAAATCGTATTTAAAATTTGCCTGTAGTTAGTTTGAAAGCAGAGTTTCATTAGTGGTTTTTCAGATCACATACTCCAAGGTTATAAAAGGGTGTGAATCAGATGCTGTACAAATAAAATATGAAAAAGAGAAGGAAAAATCACCTGAAAAACAAAACCTCACAATTTTTATTCTTGAAGGATGATAGTTTCTTAGCAATTATAAAACTATGCTTCAATATGGGTAGAAAAATGTTAAGATAATCAATAAGTTCTTTAATCCTATTACGGTTAATGTTCACCTTTTAGGTGTCAAGTGCACACCTAGATACCAAATTCCAAAATTTAGATGTAAAAATAGTTCTAGCTCTATTTCAACAATTTTGACTAGAACATACTTTAAAACTGATATTTATACATTTACTTAATGTAATTCACAAAGAGAAATGGATAAAAATGTGCAACTTTAATTTCTCTGCAGCTTCAAGGAGACTCGCCAGTAAATAATTTATCATTTTTTTTAGTTTTTATGCCCATCACCAAATATAGCCCTTGAAAATATAATGTTTCTAGTCCTGATTTTCATGTGCCTCCCTTTTATAATTCCACAGCATGAAGTTTGAACAATTGTTTAAATAGCTCAGCATTAAGAATAGATAGAGATGATTGGATAAAATATATTCTAATTTATGACAATACAGTATAAATAACATGGTTTTAGCAGTAATTTAACAGGTTTTCTAACTATGACAAGAGGGGCTTAAATTAATTACCTTAGCTACTCAATCTGATAACTGTGAGATAAGCTTTCAAACTGAAGATGAAACTGATAATACTCTGTACTGAAAAAATTTTGCATTATATGTCATTTGACAGATTAAAACTTTACCTTTCTACCAGTTATGAGTGATATAGTATAAAACTTTAAAGACAATTACTGGCAAGTTGAGAAAGAAAGGACATGACAGGTAGGCATGGCAAGTGGGTCTGATTTTCTATTTTATGATTCTGTAAACAAATAAGATTGAATGCTATAAAAATCAGACTTTGTCTTAGTAATATTTATATTATAATGAGTAATTTACATTAAATTCTGTACTTCAGAGAAAGGTGGTAAATAGATTATAGAAGGAGAAAGACCTAGAACATAAATGTCAAGATTATCATACTATGGAAGATTGAGGATTTTTTAAAACATTTCCTTATAAAACTAAGAACTTAAAACTTGTATATTAAAATTTGATTTACTAACTATGTTTTGATGCCAAGTTTATTCATATACATTGATAATAAAGTAGTTTAATTAGATTTTGAATGTAAAATATCATGATGTGCACTTTGACCTACTTGTTGAAAGAGAGTTAATCAAATTGAAACTGACTTGATACATAAAATGGAAATTTCTGATCAATAATCTAAAAAAATCAATTTCTAATAAAAAAAAAAAGGAGAAGCATTTTTAATGTTTTTTTTTTCTTCAAAATGCTGTTGCACACACCTTAAAAATTATAGTAATACTAAATAAAATTATATGTTTTTTCAAAGTGTAAACTAGATATATCATTTAATTTATTTGTTTGTTGTTAAGTGCAAAGCTTCACAATAGGCTATCTATGCTGTGTCCACCACAGGTATTGAAACCCAGATTTTTAGCATAATAAGCCTTCAGGCTTATCTCTGAGCCAATGGGAAGCATACCATTTAGAAAGTTTGTACTAAATTTCATACAATTATTTTAAGTATTTCCATAGTAAAAGTGGATATCAGTGGCACACCTCCAATTTAGAGGTGGTTAAATAATGTCTCAAACTCATACATACATATAAAAAACAACCAGAAGTCTTAAAAATTTCTATCACAGTTTACTGTCAAAGGGGTGGACATCTAATTTTTTATGCTGTAGACTAAAGACATTTTCATACATACTCAACACTGTGTAAATTTTAGAGAAGACTTAAAATAATATTAAAGATTCAATCTCAATTTAGGTTTTTTTAGTGAACACTTCTCCAGCATAATAAAAATTTACTGTCAACAACTAAAAAATATAGTTATATAAAATATATATATATATATATAAAATAATTATTTGGTGAGTTAGTAGAACTAAATGTGCAGCAACAGAGCACACTCTGACAATTATAACACAAATTTATCTCCCAAGACTGCAATTCTTCTCTGTTTTCTAAAAATCAATTAAAAATCATGGCACCAAAAACAAAGTGTAATGACAACTTGTTATTCACATTATTGTTTTATAATTCAGAATCAGCAGCATTTAAAACATATAAAACAAATTTTGCAATAGTAAAAAACACTTTTGAAAAAGATTATATAACATTTAAGCATTAATATCATATGAGAACTGATACCAACCGAACCTAATTTAAAAGAAATTTAGTTGACACTTCAGGAACAGGAGCAAACACATTAACTTACAGATAAAGGATGAAGTCGTTCATCAAAAATATCCAACATCTTATTAGATGACCGATTACGTATGTGATAAAAAACTGCCAGAGTGACACATTTTATTGTATTTTTCAAATTGGGTTGGCTGACTGTACTATCATCCAAATATATGGTTGAACATGAACTAGACTTCTTTAATGGGCGGGATTCAAATAACTGCTAGAAAAAAGAAAATATTTCAATAATCTTTATGTAAATTATTACAAATCTAGCTGAGAAGAACATAAGAAATGAGCTCAGTTAGTTTAGTAGCAAATTAAAATGTTTCTACCAACAACTACTCAACATCATTCAACATAGCAAATGTTTTAAAAGGAGTGGACATGAAAATATGTATTTGTTAATTAACACAATAATTAATTAGTTAGGTTTCTCTTATTTTTGAAGAACCATTTTTCAATTACAAGAAAATAGGCTAATTAAAAAAGAAAGAAAAAGAAGTCAAATATAAAAAGCAGAAATGAAGTAATAGTACATTATAATGCAGGAATGATCAAATACGGTCTAGTGCAGAAGTAGGACCCACTCAATGATATGGATATATCAACAGATTTTACCTATATTCACAATCCTCTCATGTGAAATGATGCTCAAATCCACAAAACTATAAATACCTAAAATGTCTAGGTCATTAAATACTACTACTGTTAGAAGAAAGAAAAACAGTAACTTACTATCTAAATTTCAATAACATAGTACACTGCCCAACTTAACTCCTTTTCTTTGCAGTAATACCAAAAACACTTTCCTAAAGGAATGTTCGAAAACATTTTAAGCAAATTTACACGTCCCTAAAAGCATGATTTGCAAAAATATAAAGCAAAATTATGCAATATCTGATTGAAAACTAACAAGCAGCTGTAGGATATCAAGTGCTTTCTGAAATAAAATATAAACAATTTTAACTTTCAACAGCACTAGTCATTGTAAAAATAGTTTTACTTTTATTAACACTTTCACAACCAAACACACTGTATTCCCAAAAATGAGGGAAAATTGGGAAGTTTGACAACACATTGCAGATTTTATATTTTATTGATTTATTGTACATTTTACTGAAGAAAGAATTACAGATAATGTATCACTGAACTCAGAGCTAAGTACAACAACATTGTAACTAGGAATATAAATAGCAGAAGTACCAATTATGACCCTATGGTAAGAAAGGGGTTAAAAGAAATGTTGGTTAAATTACCAATTTAATGTAGACTGACTGTTGTTAAATATTTTGGTAAAGTCAACTGTCCATTTTATCACCCAATGTTAAACAAAGATCATGCATTATTCTTCAAAGATAAATAAAATGTATGAACAAAAATGGGTGAAATACATAATTTTTTTTGAAAATGAAAGACTCTTGAATAAACAAATTCTTTATAACAATTACAAATATCATACTTTTCAAATAATTGTTCACAAAATAAGTATCTCACACACACAAGACAGTCAAATCACCAATAATTTGCCAATTTTCTATTTGTAGGTATTATGGAAATTTGTTGAAATCATGGCCTTGAATGTTCTGATACTTAATATACCAACAAACGGGACTTTTAGAATTTTCCACACAAATCACACTTTCTTGTACATTATGTTTGTTTCTGCCAATATCTACAGAAAGCATCAAAACTATAAGGTTGATAGTTGCTACAATAACATGCCATATTTATGGTGAAATGAATTAGCAAAAGTATTCACACCAAATTTCATAAAAAATTAGTTGTTAACAAAAATCTAAGGTCTGAACATGAAAATATTCTGTAACAAAAAAAAACAATACTTAATGATTATATTACTGAATAGGATGACTTCTGTTTGGTTGTTCCATTCATAACTAAATCTGATACAAATCAAACTTTACAATAATCAAAATAAAGTTGTTTTCTAAAATGATCACAAAAGTCTACTGGTAAGATAGATTGGATTTAATCAGACAAACATGTTTCTTATTTCTGCAATCTACAATTTTTGTCAAATTATGTCTTGTACTTTTACTTTGTATTTAAGGCAAAGATACTAAAGTTATCTACTGCCATCCCTAATTTTGAACTTGGCAGCCAGTTAGCAGCACCCACCATCCACACCAAGGGATTTACTGTCACTCTTATAATGCATTTACAGCTTAAGATGTGCAGAATATTTTGTAGCCTCACACACACAAGTCAGTCAGCTTCAAAATTCAGAGCTCTACCACAGGGCCAACCCATGCCCAAATAATGTCTTTTCTCTTAATACACTACATCAATTTCAATTATATATTTCTAAATTACACTAGTTATAGCTAATACATTACCTAAAACTGACTTATAAAAAAACTCTTATACTATGAAGTACCGACATACATAAAAATAAAAGCAATAATGTAAAGCAAATCAACAACTTACATTTGTTTGGCTCTTACGTTTTTCTCGACAATCTAGAAAAATTAATTTTTTTCTTTTAGTTTTATGATGTTCACACAGTACTTTTTCTAACAAAAGAAATTCACAACTTCAAAGCTTTTAAAATGCAAAAAAAAAATTAAAATACACATTTCAATATACTTAGTTCAAAATTACATCTTTAAATTATTCATTAGTTACACACCACTAACAAAGATTATAACATATATCAGACATATTTATAAGATCCATACTGTGAATGGCTATCTTATGTGACCAGTTATGATAACATTGGCCAACACACCTGACAGATTTTGTCATATCTAGTCTTGTTAGACCAGTAAACTTCAACAATCAGAACTTTGCTGTAATAAGTAAAAAGAGATAAAACATTTTAGTTTAAGCCTCAACCCATTAAATTATTCTGTTATATATCAGGTTTATAAAAGATTCATTTCTGACTCTCAAAAAGCTAGAGTGCAATATATGGTAGTATTGCAAATCACCTGCCAGAATTCACAGCCATGGTTTTTCATTGCAATTTAAGCATAGTCTCTCACCTGAAGATGAGTTAATGAAAACGTATATGGTTAAATAAAATCATTAAGAAGTAGTGGAAAACTATATAAATACTATTCTCTGGACTTATGTACATCTTTTCATAATTCTTGGTATCATATTAAAATATATTATAATATAATCTAAGGAAAGTAATTATAACAAGAAACTCTTACATCTTTAAAATCTTATTATTTTTCATTTGAAACCCATGTGTTCTCAAGAAAAATATCCCACAATAGTAATTGCTATAGCAAATAATAAAATCTTAAAACATAACATACACGCAACAAGGGATCATTTTTTCCTTCAAGACAGTTCTTGTACATCCACTCTTAAGAAAAATAAAACTTTACACCCACCCTTTACTCTTCAGGAAATCATCAATTCTTCTCCTTAACTTCTTACCACCCTCCATTAATACCAATGGCAACTCATTCTACATGTTAATTACCCTGAGAGAAATATAAAACTGTCTTGACTGGAACATAGCCTGTCTTTTTCAAATATTAAACTTATGACATCCTACTGTCTTCAAAATATAGCACAAAAAATCAGAGACCTCTACCCTATCAATCTCCCACATAATATTATAAACTTAAGAAAAATCATCTCTTAATCCTTTGGATGCTATAATAGGATTTATCCAACTTGACATTTATAGCCATTTGGTGCAATAAGCAAATTTACCCCATGATGTCACAAAAACTTTTCCTCATAGTGCAACAGTTAGGACACTCGCACGTCCTTGAATTTCCTGCCTTAATACTGCGCATGCATACACCACTGAGCAAAAGTGCAACTAGTGAATTTTGATATTGGAAAAGTACTAAAAAAGGTCAAATTCTAAATTTCATTTGTTTGTGGATAATTAACACTTTTCAAGAAACCACATGAAATTTAATTACACATTCAAGAGAATACAGTTAAGAGATCTTAACTTATCTCCAAAAGATAACCCTTCAATCCTCAGTTATCCTAGAAGCCCTCTTTGAAACTCTTTTCAATAACTCATGAACCTTTCTTAAATAAGGAGACCAAAACTGTACACAGTATTCGAGTGAAGTCTAACTAGTCACTTTTAAAGAACAATAATTATTTCTTAACTCTACATATAAAGGTTTGGTCATTTTTACTAATCTATTAACCACCATGTAACCATTAACAACATGGATCATTTTCAACAGGAAAATGAGGAATAATTCTCTACATATGTCCACCAAGTTTCATCAGAATCTGATATATATATCAAATAATGTGTCTTACTTCTGGCATCACTTTTTGACCTCTGCATAAACAGGGGACCAGCCGTTGGATGAGACGATGGGTCACTCTCCAAGTCTAAACCCGCAATCAACATAGAATTTAACAATGAAAATTCTTAGACTTTCTCTAAATTAACCTGAAGAAATATATACATACAATTAAATCCAAAAGACAAATCATAAAATAATTAAGCTATTTTAAGAACAGGAAAGCATTATTACTCGGTGCATTTAGGGTCTGTATCTATCTATCTATATATATATATATATATATAATTCCTAATTTAAGGTTTTATGGCCAGTCAGACAATTATTAAAATCACAAAAACAAACAATGATTTCATAAAAAGTTTATAACATTAAGTTTGAATTTAAAATTTCCTCAATTAGCCTTCTACAGCCAACTTCGCCATTACTAAACTCTTTCAAAAATCTTACAAATGTGCTTATTAACTAATTTTATAAAGCTTACTTAAACATTTACTTTATAATTCCTTTAGACTTCTACAGTCACAGCCTTACCATTGCTAAACTCACCTGAAAAACACACAAATGGATCTGTTACAAAAAAATTTAATAACCTTTAAAATTTACTCTAACTTGTATCTGATTTAAAAGTCTAATTATAACATGTTCTTTTCATTCTTTTACTCTGTTCTACCATAAATTATCTTTTATTTAATGGTAAAATAAAGTAAAATAATTTTTGCCAGTGAATCACTGCTACAGTTAGGAGATTAGTGAGATTTCCTAACTGATCAATTGCTGGGCTCATTAATTAATTAGATTCAACTAATGGATTATTCTGACATGAGATTTAAATAATTGAGATAATCAAAAATATCAATACCCAGGATTAATTAATTATTTTTTGTAAGTTATGAGACTAATCAATTAAGCAGAACAACCTGGAATTAATAAAAAATAAGAAGAAGAAATCACAATGTCAATATCTTAATTACTTTTATAGCTGGAATAATCAAACAGTCATAATCAGAAACACTAATTTTGATTAGGTAATTATTCTTATGGGATTAATAGATTTAATTCTAATTTTGATTAATTATTATACTGTTTGTTTGTGGTTAAGCACAAAGCTACACAAAAGGCTATCTATACTCCACCACCACGATATTGAAACATGGTTTCTAGTGTTGATGTGTCACTGGTTGATGTAATTAACATTCATGGGTAAGCTATTATATAAACTAATCAAGTTAATCACCTAGCTCTCATCACTGCCATAGTAATGTGAGTTGTTTTATTTGTGCATAATTGTGTGTGTGAGAAGGGATCATGATTCATGATATTTAACTAAGTTATTAACAGTTGACACCTGGAGATTTTAATTTTATGCTAACAAAAAAATAAAAATATCAATTGCACAGAGCGATCCACATATTTGCTAAACTCTATAATACCAGGGTGCACTGATTCTACACACCTGTTGTATGGTTTGTTTTACTGCATTTTGAAGAAAAAAAAACAGTAGAAGAATTGTTTGAAACTTAGAAGACCTTTCAACAAATTATGTAGTTTCTGAAAATAAAATGTAATTTTTATATATGATATTTGTATCAATTTGCAGCTTTGAAATTTAAAAAATAATTCATTGAAATATGTTTTAGAGAAACAATCGAAAGGCTTACCTTTATTGTGGATTTTAGTTACTGATTTCTATGTCTTCCTACATTATTTTAAAACTTTTCTATTGTGATTTTATTTTATAAAACTAAGTTCTTTCTCTATTGTGCTTATGATCACTGGCATACAATAAAAATGTTTTTAGGCATTAAAATTATATCAAGCCAACTTTTTTTTAACATTTCCTTTCAGTGTTTTTTTGCATATTCAAGCCACTATTTAGGCTGATAAGGCCTAATATACCACCTTATTGACAAAATGAAACTTGATATCATTGAATGCAAATGACTTAGCTAAACCTACCCCATTTTGTTCCAAGAAATCCATTATAAAACCATAATTCAGATGAATACAAAATGTTAAAGCAAGCATTTTGCGAGCTTTTAGGGAAAAAAAAAGAAATTAAACTGTGGTGGAACTTGTTCAAAAACATATTTTCTTCTAATAATATAACAACAAGCTAAGTTTTTATCACATTCTTCTAATCTTTCTGTGAATCTACATTGAACAGGAAGCCATATTGTTTATACATTTGAAAAGAATAGAAAAACAGCTTTCATTAGATGTTTCAATCACAAGCCTAAGACTTCTCAAAGCTGAGATATGGGCAATTAGATCACATCATGACAAATGAGGTTAAGAAAAGTGATTAGCTAAAGACTGATAAAACTACAGATGTATTCAAGTTACAAAGTCAAGTCAGTGCTATTTTGTTCAAAACTATTACTACTTTCCTCCTAGGGGGGCCACAAATACAGTATTATGCTCAGACAAATTCAGTAAATTCACAAACACTAATGAGTTTGTTCACTGCAAACTGAATTAAACCCAAAATCAAAATTTTACATTTTTTTGTATTAAATAACTTTCAAATCTTAAGTTGTTGTTCTTTTTTAATGTGTGGATGATTGGCTACAAGTTTTTTCCTACAATATTTTTCAATTCAATGGTGTAATTTTGCCTTTGAGGTGGAATGCACCCACCTGGGTATGATAGAAATAAATTATACTTTACCACAATAATAAGGCAGCATATGAATCACATGCAGAATATGTCAAATGTGAACACAAAGCACTATCATGTAATGGAACACAAGATGAAGAAAGCACTTCTATCAATGAGTGCTTTAAGAAATGCTAGCACTATATAACTAAACTTTATTTATACAAATCATTACAAGTTCTGACCAAAACACACGAAGAAAAATTAGAAAATAAGTTATCACTAACACACTCTTGTTTTAGGTAGATTGAACTAACTGGATAAAAAAATCAGATCTGAACTGTAGAATGAATGAATGAAAAATAAAATTAAACTTTCAAATTTCACTTAACATAAACATGAAATGTACTACAGATAAATTTAGAGCATGCATGACAGATATAATCATTAAATGATTGAGAAAATTAATAATACACACCCTCTGGCTCTCTTTCACTGATATGCTGCAAATTTGATGCACTTTCTTCTGGCTGAATTTCTGCCTCTGGTAAGTAGGTGTCTTCCACATTCTTACTGCCATGCCTGGGACTCGTAATTCTAAAACACGAACAGCTATTCCCCATGACTGTGTAATAGTGAAATTTCAAACCATTGATTTTAAGTAATTGTTTCTTCTGATTTCTGGGAAGAAACTACTATAAGCAAAACCAGTGGTGAGGCATCTGAGAAAATAATTCAGCAGCTGTCAGAGAAAGCATCATGTACCACCAATTCCTGTATAAAACAAAATATATACATACATAAATCAAAGTACCCCTTATTCACCTAAAACCAATCACCCCAAAAAATTAAATCAAAATTTAAATGAAAGTCTTCAACTGCTAGTGACTATCCAACAAAATTTTAAACAATTTAAATTAAAATCACACACATTTCCATGTAAGACACTCCATAGGCTTATAACTCAAATTGAAAAACTATTTTTGTGGTAGGACACATAAACATATGAGCTGTTTAAGTATAAATGATATTACTTCCAAATCTTTCCTTTTTCCCAAATGTCGAAAATTGTAATTTTCAATTATTATACTACCTAAATATGCAGTGCTTAAAACATCAGTTGTACACACATTACAGTTATACAAGGGGGTGTAATTTCACTACAAGTTTTTATTTTTCAAGACTTTTTCAAATGACTATAAAACAGGTAACTTAACCCTATCGAAACGGGTCACAGGTGAAAGACCACGTCGTCTCGTTTGTTGACTCACATTCAAAATTTTATTGAACTACTATTTCATAAATTTATGTCAATAATTTTGGTATCAAACTGTAGATTATAATTCAAATTTTTAGTACTGTATATTACTCAATTTCTTAATTTAAAAGCAAATATTAAAAAAACAAATTTTTGTGTGTCACATGGTATGTTGAATGCAGCACTGGTTCAAATTAGAGGTTTGTGATGTCAAAACGCTAAGTCTATTGTTTCGTACAAATTAGAAACTCAAATTACTGATATTGACAAGCTAGAATATAAAATAAGAGCCTCTTATCTTTTCAATTTGCTAAGATATTGCTCATGTAATAAATCAAACACAGTGGTACATGAATAACGAATTGGAAACTCAGAATGTCCCCCTAGTGGCATTCTCAGCCATTTTAATGGTCTTGGCGCCATTCTTTCTTTTGAACCAAGATTTCAATGATGTAGGGTGTGTCTTTAGTCTGCTCGAAATTTAATATTTTTTAGACTAAAATACATCTTAGTTACTAAGCTTGATAAGTTATAGTGGAATTATGTGGTATTAATGTAGTAATTTATGATTTTTTAGTTATTCAAATATATATATAAAACCTAAAAAAATATTTTGTTTCATATCCTCCACGTGCAAACTTTTTAAAGGCTTAGCAGCCTACGTCAAGCAGAAACCGAGTACAAGATAATTGTTTGCTTTATTTTTTTAGTTACTGTTCTATGTTTTAAGAAAAATAAGTTTAAGAACTTATTTCAAAATAGCAATAATCTATATACATATATAATGTATAATAATTGAAATGTGACTGTATTTTACAAAATACTAGTCGACTAAAACACAGCCAAGACAAGTTAATTTGTACAGACTAAAGGTCAGTTTTATGTTATTTAATACGATAACATGAATGCACGTGAGCTGAAAGGTCAACATAGTAAAAATAATAAATATATATAAATGTATAATGTTACGAGATTTAAACTATTTAGTCTAAACATTTATGTTTTCATGTTATAATTTATGTTCATTCTAGAATGAAAGAGGCATAATTTACATTTATTTCCTAATTTTTTATGGTGGTTGCGAGATCGGTCAAATCTACCGAACCCGTACAGAGATTAATTACTGAAAATAACAGATAAAATATAAAGTTTTTCTTAAGAACGTTTGATAACTATCTGGACATTATAAAGATTTCACATTTGAAATTTCAATATTCTCTGATGCATAAAAGTATTTTTAATCTTAAAATGAATATTACTTTGTATGATAGCTAGGCTACATGCAAAAAAAGAAAAAAGACACGAGAAAAACATTGCTTGTAATGTTTACTGATAATCTGCCAAATTTCGTTAACATTTGCTTACTAATTTAAAAGTTATAGCATGAAAACTGTAACAAGCACAAATGTGCTAAAAGATTCAACTAACAATCACAGTTAGAAGCAGAAGGGTATTCTGTAAGTTGCTGCAAAAACATTTGTCAGCTTTGTAAAAGTTAAACCTAATGGTATGTGACATAGCAAAAAGTTTTCATTTTGCAAGCTTTTGGGATTCATAGCTGCAATTGTGTAACAGAGTAAGCAAACTTCCCAAAAGCAATATACTTAAAAACTCCATAAAAAGTAAATGTACAATAAATTAACATCAAAGTCTGTTATTGATACAGGTTAGGAAGAAAAGGATCTAAAAGTATCCTTTGAAGGGGATTCTCTAAGTATAGAGTTATGTATATACAGTACAAGTAAAACTAGAATTAGAATTTCATAAAGTTAAGAATCTTGTGAAAAATATATTTTGTTAAATCTGAAAAATATATTTTGTTAAATCAAGTTGCTGACACTAGGAATATTTATAAGCAGGTTACTTTATATTGTAAAAGCTAACTTGCTATTTTAGGGGATTTTATTTTGAGGAAGTCAAAAAGTTTTTTTAATAAAAGTTTTCTTGAAGTTTTGAAAGACTGGTTTCTCACAAAGTGTCAGATTCTACTAGAAATGACAATTGTCTTTAAGACTTTGTTATTATCAGAAGATATTGTTAGGAATGTAGTTGAGCAAAAGTACTTGAGTACAAGTGTTCATAATATTATTACATTTGATGTTTTTACTGAAACCAGCACATTCCCAATTAAAAACTAACAAACTGACTTTGAGGAACTGCAAGGTATTTTATTTACAACAACTGGTCAGAAATAAGTTAACTAAATGGAACTAAAATTATTTAAAAACAGCATTTAAAAGAAAAAGATATAATAGTTCATCTAAATAGAAATAACGTGGGGTTCTTTTGTTACAATTAATTAAAGCTAGTTGAAGAGCACTGTATTCTTACCCAAATTCTACATTCCATCTGTTACTTTTCTAAAAGGATATCTGAGGAATAATATTACAAATGAATAATGCCTAGCTTATAACACAAATGTTGCTATTAAAAACAAAATGCAGAGCCTGATAAATACAAACAAATATAACATATGGACAATGAAGGAACATCTGGTTCTTTAAAGCCGTCCTTGTACACCCACCTCTAAGGAAACAAGAGGGAATCCTCAATAGCCATGGCACTTGAGATTCTTTTAGGCATGATTAGAGTAAATTAATCTATCAGACCTTCTTTTCCTTTTTATCACCTATATTTTTGTGCACCAGCAATACCAGGTGTGGAGCACACATACACCTGATTCAATTTTATTACTCATCAGGATCTCTACCAGCCTACCCTCAAATTGAAGTTCTTTTAGGCATGATAAGAGTAAAGTAATCTACGAGACCTTGGGAATAGTCAAATACCACAATCAAAAGGGTTTGAGCTCCTGAGTCCAAAACTGTAATTGGATCTCAAATCGGTCAAGAGATGATGGAGCTATGAGCTAAACATTTGTGCTTGATAAAAAAAAGAAACTCGAAGCAATAATATGAACCACTATGTCGCAACTAAAAATACAGTAAATATTTTAACACCACCCTTTATTCTATAGGGTTTCACTAAATTCCCTCTTAAACTACCTTAAGGTGCCATCCTCTATTACTCCCAATGACAAATTATTCCAAAAGTTTTGGAAAATCTAAATACATTAAGTCCACACCTTTTCCCATCATCCAGGTGACATCCAACATCTACAATATAAAGCAAAGTGTTTGTCTGGGGAAAAAATACATGATCGTATGTCAGTCATTTCATATCTGTTCCTTATAAGTTTCCACATTTCTTGATCAATCAGCACCATACTTGACACAGTGATACAGGATGACATGAGGAAGATCATAAATGGGGTGAGGCTTGGACCCCCAACTTCTATATAAATATATGTCAATATGTGTATGTATCTGTTCTTTATATGTATTCACATTTCTTGATCAATCAGCACCAAGCCTGACACAGTGATACAGGATGATATATGGAAGGTCATGATGGGGGTCTACCAAGTCAGCATAACTTGACACAGTGATACAGGATGACAAGAGGGGGGGTTGACTCCCCATTTAATTTCATATTGCTAGAATTTTTGAAAACATTGTCTTTCTTTTCAGTATTGGTACATTTATGTATTTTTTACTGCACTTTTAATATATATTACGTTAAGACAAAAAAAATAGAAGCACAATTTCCTATGTTTTATAATGGCTGGAGACGGCTTGAATGGGTAATGGAGAAAAACTTTAATATAAGTTTAACATAGCAGCAAATGTACAACG